TAAATGTGAATGAAAAATGTATACAAGTATTTGTAATAAACAAATCATTGTGTCATTTTTGTAAAGATTCAATGAATTTTTTTTCACTGACCGATTATTTATCACATTTCAATGTATCAATCAATGTTTCTTTGTTTTAGTATAATCACTATTTTTTAATTGTTTTGTTACTTGCCTATTCAGATATTCACTCTACATTATAATAATGATAATATTACAATTGTTAATTGACATATCAGTTCGTGTATAATAACAACCAACGTAAAAGAATTCTACATTATGATTCTTAATAAATATAGGAAGGTATTGTGTGATGCGCCTTATTTAATTGTTTATTAAAAGTAAACATTTCACATTCTTATCTTCTTCTTTTCAACTCTAGAAAAGAAGAAAAAACATTTTTTTGGAAAATATCTGAAAGTAATAATTCTGCACTGACTGTGAAAGGGAAAGTTAGGCGCTTAGTGTGTAGCCTGGAAATCCTTGGTTAGATTTGTGATATGACTTTGGATATGAAGCGCTGAAGATTTTGGTACTTGACCGGAATAACTATCCAGTTTCTCGTATTTTTTAACAGTTTTCTAACTAAGGTCAGAACATTGGTATGAAAACTGAAGATTCTCCACAAGCTCCCCATCTAAAATCACTTCGTTTTCTCTTTGTAGCCTTATCATATAATTTAACCTGATTATGTACAGTATTTTTAAATTATTCCCTAAATTTCTCCTGCATTCATTTTCCTTTTCCATTATCAATGATATTTTGCTATTAATCAGTAAGTGGTATATGCCACACTCCGGGGATTTTGACGAAATTTACTAATGATTATAAATTAGAACTGAAAAGTCTTTGAGGAGTGAGTTCAAGGAATTCATTACTATAGATACAACCACATACTCTTTTCGTGGGATTTTTTTGTAATAAACACTGATTAATTTATTGTCTATAGTTCTTAGCTTGTACATCATTTCGATACAATTTTCTACCCTACCTGGAATTTTGGAGTTCACATCACAAACTACTTGCTAATAATAAGTAGTATTATTTTTATTTCGTTTATATTGGACGAATATTAATTAGCGAAATTAATTGACATGCATTTTGTCATAAGTAGTGTTCTGTTCCACCCACTTCTACATATAATTGTATGACTGAAACTTGACTACTTTCTTTTCTATCTATCTTTCTCATCCTTTCAACCAAAAAGAACTACTCATATATGTTATATTTTTATTTCAGTAGATAAAATTTATCTCAAATGTGCGTAACATTTAGAAATAATCACAGCTTGAGACATGAGTTTTAAATTTCACTCTTTGTTAGATCTCAACTTTGCTACTTACTATCGTTTTCAGTATTATTACTCAATTGTAATGATAAATCTATCGCAGGAATTTCGAACCCCCTGCAAAGTTACTTTCAGAATCATGCAATAAAAGTAGTAGTCCCTTGTTGTGTTTAGTACTAATATACAGACATCAGTTCTAGAAGTGTTTTGTCTTATATCATTTATACATCAAACTTCACTCGTATTTCAGTGTAAACTTTGCAGACCTATGAGTCAAAACACAAACACAATTCTTTTTGGCATCAAATACATAGAAATCATTACCTCGCTAAATCATAAAGATCAAGTCGACTGAGCTCTCTTTGTATATATATATATATATATATATATATATATATATATATATATATATATATGTTTATCGTTGTTAGTAATAACGATCATGTTTACTTTCACTTAGTCATTGAAGTGACCATATTTAGGAACAATTTTTTATTATAAACTTTATTAGAAGAGTAACTTTTACTAAATTGTAATTTTTTCATGATGAATGACTTTATTACACTTAACACATCTGTTGTCGAAACCTTGAGGCTAAACTAGTGATTTCCACTTCGTTTTGATTAGTTACCTGGTAACGATATCAACATGGAAAACAACAGTAGAGTTTATCCCCAGTTCTATTACATGTCCATTGACTCTTCCTGGTGTTCGTTTGTTACGAACCAATCAAACAGTGCGTATTTCCACCAAAGACTTTCGTTTTTTAGAGTTGACATCATGAACTGACCTCAGTTAGACAGCACTGAAAAGCTGTTTAATTTTATAAACGTGACTTCTGAGCAATGAACAGTTCGAACCTACCTCTAGGGACTGAACCGAGAACCTTCAGGTCTTGCATGTCACAAATTAGTTGTTTTCTGTCGTTTTTCAGATTTATTTAAAAAGTTTATAATTGATTAAACTGTATTTTGACTGCTTCTTAATTGTAAAAAACTTCTCTTTGGTTCATGGATACAGTTTGTGATAAAAATTTCTTTTTTCAAAATCTCTCAATGAATCTACTGATGTTATCGTATTCTTTTATATTTTCAAAAGAAAAGATTAAAATAAAACATTTAGTTAATAATTCTACATTCAATACTTACTAATTCAAACAAAATTATAATCCATATTATAAACACATTTGTCAATGTTTATTCTCTTCATACAATTAAAAGGTCAAATGTAAATGTTAAGGAAACTAAATAGAAATCTAAATTTATATTCTCGTTTCATACTAATAATCTGCCTTCAATAATGAATGTATTAGGATTCACCGAGTTGACTAATTAATTGACCAGATCAGAGGATAACACAAATCGACATGTAAAATAATTCAGTGGTATTATTAACATTAAAATACAAAAATATTCAATTGACAAATTCAAACTAAAATAAAACATGTGTCCTAGATTATTCTAGTATGCCTGATCTATTTGTTTTATGGCAATTAAAGTTTGTTTGCGCTAAGATTATCTGAAAAACTTTTTTTTAAATGTAATGTATTTATAATTAGAATAAAATGCATAATGAACTGAAAAATCCGTAAATACATCATGAATAACAAATCTATTTCATCTAATACCAGAATAATTGAAGAATGCTGAATTAGATGTGTTATGTTTTATTTAAGGCTAGTTTTTACTTATACCTTATATCGGGGATTATGTTTACCATCTTCAAACGAATTAAGTCATATGCCATCTAGTGAAAAAACATTCAGATCATTGTATAAAAGTACCAATGGAATTTGAGGAAGGATAAACACAAGTTTCGTCATCGTTTAGAGACCTCATACCAGATTGAAACTGTGATTTGCAAGTTTTTCGGGATAATGTTTGATAGTTATAAAAATAGGTGAATTATGTATTACATCATTCATTGCTGAACAAACTGGATCTGATGCAAATGGGAAGGTATGGATTGGGTAGAGCAAGGGCAGCATTTCTTCAGTTAAAGAACGTTTGGAATTCAAAATAGCTATTAAGCAACATCAAAGTCAGAGATTTCAACACAAATGTCAAGATAGTTGCACTCTATGGGGTCGGAAACTTTGAGAAACATGAAGGCCGTCATCCAGAAGATACAAGTATTTATTTACAGTTGTCTACGCAAGATACTAAGGATCCGTTAGCCAGATGCCAGCAGAGGGAGGAATCAGGAAGAAGTATCGGGGCAGGATAAGACACACTTTAAGGAATGCACACAACTGCGTCACAATGCAAGCTCTCACTCGGAATCCTCAAGGCTAAAGGAAAAGACCGAAGAATATATTGGGCCGAGAATCGGAAGCAAACATAAAAAGAATGAACAACAACTGTTTGAAACTGGGAAGAACAGTAGAAGACGAAGTTGGTTGACGAATGCTGGTCGGCTGCCTATGCTCTATTTGTGGTTACTGGTCTAAGTAAGTAAGTAAGTAAGAATTATAAATTAGTGGGTTATGCTTTTTAACTTTATCGATAAATGATATAGTATGATCTGTGTACAACACAAATGAAATTCATTGACTAACTCTTGAAATGACATCGTACACAAAACATTGATTGCTCCTGGTACCTGAGATGTTGACAATGTAGATTCCTAATCACCTTCATCTCGTCAAGTGTAACTGTCAATCAGAAAGACCTGACAGGATAATCAATATGATGAACTTAATGGGAATGAATATCTAACCAATCACAAATTGATTAAAATTTAATTCCCTTGCAGATAACAGTAGTGTTTCGATAGTTTGTAGAACACTATAATAAATATTTACCACCAATTAAGTGTTCATTTTAGTCTACACACAAACGTGAATGTTTAAATTGTGTTTGTATATTTATCACTAAGCAAAATAATTCAAATCACTTATGCACATCTTCTGTTTAGCGACTTTTTTGGCAAGTAAGTTTTTAACTTATATATGAAGGAAAAAGCAAAATTCTCCGATGCAACACAACATGCACCAACCAAATCACGCTTGATGGAGATGCCTTGGAGGACGTTAACACCTTCACATATCTTGGCAGCATCATCGACGAGAAAGGTGGATCCGATGCAGATGTGAGGGCGCGGATTGGCAAAGCAAGGGCTGCATTTCTACCGTTGAAAAATATCTGGAACTCCAAACAACTTTCAACCAAAACCAAAATCAGGATTTTCAATACAAATGTGAAGACAGTTGTACTGTATGGAGCGGAAACTTGGAGAACTGCAAAAGCCATCATCCAGAAGATACAAGTGTTTATGAACAGTTGTCTATGCAAAATACTTCGGATTCGTTGGCCAGACACCATCAGCAACAACCTACTGTGAGAGAGAACAAACCAGATTCCAGTGGATGAGGAAATCAGGAGGGAGCGGTGGAAGTGGATAGGACATACATTACGAAAAGCACCTAACTGCGTCACGAGACAAGCCCTCACATGGAACTCTCATGGCAAAATGAAAAGAGGAAGGCCAAAGAATGCATTACGCCGAGAAATATAGAAAGATATGAGAGGAATGAACAAACATTCGACTGAACTGGAAAGGGAAGCCGAGGACAAAGTTGATTGGAGAAAACTGGTTGGCAGCCTATGCTCCATTGAGGGTAACAGGCGTAAGTAAGTAAGTAATACACATCTATTTAACTGTTATGTCTTTACTTCTATTTAATTTTTCTTTATTTCTTTTCAATTTACAGGCTACCATGTCTTATTCACAATTATCAACAGATATCAATTTCAATGATGAATTCTATGAAGATATAAAAAAACCAATTAAACCATTATTATTTACAAAAACTAGTAAAACTTCCCCTATGAATTCCCCTTTAAATTCATTCATCGCAGATTATTTAAATATGATTTATTATTTAAATGCAAAAAATAAATTCACAAATCATCATGATCCTTTGAAGAGTCAATTGAAACAACCACAACCACAACAACAACAACATTATTTAAACAATATTCTTCCAATGAATTCACCTATCCATTTATCACATTTAGTAAAACGTGTTTTAGCTGATTACAAAAAACGAAAAACTATATTAGCTGATTATAAAAAACGTTCAGCTTATAATTATTATGATAATTATGATCATGATGGTGATAATGATGATGATGCTGATGCTGATCATGATAACTATGATGTATTATTGAAGTAATTAACTACTAACTATTCGAAAACTGATTCCATATTCAAATATGTATGTGCATGTGTGTGTTTGTGTGAGTCTGTGTGTGTGTGCGCGCGATTATGTGCATATGTGCGAGTACAACTCATACACTACTATCATGTGACACAATGTTCATGTAAATTTACAATAAAATAAATGAATCAATGATTCATTGAATCAAATAAAGTACACATTTTATCACTTTAGTTATAATATTCTAACAGTTGAAAACTGTATACAATATAATTTTGGTTTTTTTTTCGCGTAATTGAAATGCTCGCTTCGTGTAATGATTTACTTTAGAAATTGTGAAATTGTGTTGTAAACGAAAACACACACACTCGAAATTAGGCCACTGAAAATGTTTATTATCAGTTATGTAATAGAAGCCGGGGAAATGTAATCATCATTCTGATCGAAAAACTGATCCGATATTAAATTATTGATATTTATGTGTGATTTAGTGAGACCAAGTGAGTACTACTAGGTGTAGTATAGTGATCAAATTCGATCGAATAAACTACACTACGGCTACTAAGTGAAGTGATTCGAATGTGTTCAAATAAAGTACCTGAGTGCTTTATCAGAAATCATAATGTCTGTATTAGTTTAGAATCTATACTAATAACTAGTCAAACAATTTATTTACCAATGAATTCAACAGTCAACATTTTAATCCTGTCAGATGTTACGGGTATGAAGGCGGTTGTCACTTCCCGGCTGCCCACACCGAGGAAGGGTGTTTCTTGAGGAACCTGCTTGAGGCCGGTCACGCACGGATTTTTTATGAAGGGTTTTTTGAGTGTTAGCTCCGCTCTTGAAAGCCCTTAGTGGGCACCCTTACCGACGGAGACGGAAATCCGTGAGGTAGGTGTGACATTTTTAGGGTCAACCTTTTCTAACCCTTCCTTCCTTGTGAGAAGGCAGCATCGCTGCAGATGCTGGTTGTCCGAGGGAAACACCTTACTTCTGTCACACCCCTCTGCAGTCAGTAGTACGACTTCGCCCTCAGACCTTGAGTAGCTGCTTTTAGTCTCATCGCTCTCCAATCGACCTGCGTTGAATGGTAGAACCTTCAGGAACATGTGTTCCAGCCAATATAGCTCGGTTAGGTCATCAAGATAGGCAAGCCCAACCACCACGTCAAGGTAGCAGCTACGGTCGGGATTTTTATCCTGTACTGATAGATAAGTTAGATTATCCCTGAAAACCTGGAAGTACCGGACAGTAGTTTATGAAATTCAATAATTTCCATAATCCTATACTTACAATCAACATTGTCTTTCGTAGGTGACTTTGAATACAACATGCTGAAACATCTGTACATAAAATAGCTTCAGCATAACAGTCGAGCATATTTTAACTTTAAGCTGTACAATAATAACAAATCTGCTTCCATTCCGAATAAGTTAGCTTAAGAAAATAAATATATATTCAAGGATTTCAATAATAACTTATCATTTATGAATAAACCTATTTCATTACAAAACAGATTTTGAAAAAAATTTACGCTCATGACACTTTAACATCAACTGGATGTCTAATATCTTCTGTATTAGATATTCAGTATTCTCTGTACTGAACAGGTAAAACTGAACTAACTACCTTTAAAAATGATGAAGACAAAAGGTTTTTATTAGCGGATAATCATTCACATATATAGGTTAAAATATCTTATTCAAAAGTGATAGAATTAGGAATCATTGCATGATTCACAAATTTACCAAAGGTTTAAAAACTACCCTTCAGTTATAAATATTCACATAATATTAAGCTCAAAGTCGTTTAGTAGAACTTTAGGTCAATTGAATTTTAGACTTTTCGTAGAACTACATTTAAAAGTAGTTTATATAGAATGTCTACTAATATTTCCAGCCCAAATGGTTTGGCCCAGCCTTTGGATAAACTAATTGGCTTTTTCTGATCAAGTTACTATTCGCACATCTTCTGACCTTGTCAATTACTTGCCCATCACGTTGAATTGCTACACTCACCTACACCGCTTTGCTTTCGTGCATTTTACCTACATGTCTGTCTGTGTAAACGACTGCATGAAATAAACTCATCCAACTGAATTCGTTTTTGACTTCTGATTACTGCCATCTCGTAAAGGAAGTTCGCCTTAGAATAATAAGATACGGAAATTATATGGAAGATTTATTTCATAGAGTATTTAATTAGTCGTAAAATTTCGAAGTCAAATCTCCGGCAGCAAAAATAGTTTCTAACCTACCTGTGTTTGTTTGAATTAAAGTTGAACTAATAACAAAAGACGGTTTGTCATTCATTTAGCACTATTAAACACAGTTTACATCAGAACAAGTAAATATCTTTAGTTTTACTGAACACATATGATATAAGTAATACTTCTCAATGGTTTGAAAGACTCTTATCAGTTATACATATCGAGCGAGGGGTAGGGGATGAGCACAGCTGATGAGACCCATGCTAAGACGAAATGGCCATCTAGTGTTTTCAGATCTCTGTTGTTGACCTAACATTGATCAATTAATGATTTCAATTATACACATATTAAACACTCTACAATTGTGTTGTCTTTGACACCCATAATTTAGCGATTAATAATTAAAATAAATTTTCAAATAATATTATTCGAACATTTAAAACAATAATTTTAAATCTGATTAATTTATTGATATGATATGGTTTTATTTTTATTTTATTCATTATTAAATTATCAATAGTTGAACTGTCCATTACTGATTACTGCCGATTGATTCTTTAACGGATATCAATTTTGAAATTAAAATTGTTTTACATCGTTTTTCATCCGAATAGCTCCATAATTGATCAAATAGAACACTGTTTACATTCCACTGTTTCTCGACAATTTTTATCATACTAATAAAAACATTACAAAAATTTTTCACTTGAAAACTAATAAAATAGTTGATATTGTTGAGATATTATAATAGTTGAATTATTTTAAATTGCATAAAAAATGTAGATTACCACAATGATTGAAATTGCTACTCATCTATTTATTCAGGTAGAATCAATTTAATATTCATTTGTAAAATATCAAGTGAATTAATTAAAACTCATTGATTCTATAAAAGATTCAAAAATTAAATCGTGTAATACCTAGTCGTATACGAAAATATCTATTTATACAAGTTCAATGAAATAATGCAGGAGATTTGTGGAGATTGTATTATTTCTATAGTTCATATCATGAATTGAGCTGAGTTAGACCACCTTTCGAAACCTTAAATCACTGGACAGTCATTTCGTCTTAGTATAGAACTCCTAAGCAGTGCACATCCACGACTCCCGCATATGGGTTCGAACCCAGGACCTTCAACCTCTCACGTGAACGCTTAAAATCTAGACCAATTAGTTGGCAATCACTCGTATTAATTTTGTTGTTTAGCCTTCATTCATTGTTTTTGATGGATAACTTTCTCCTACCCGACATGAATTGAACTTGACTAGTCATGACTTCTCACTAGAACTCCAAGAATACATTTTGAAACTAGTCACTAGTGAGCACACGATTGTTAGGAATGAAGGGGATTATATGGAGATTGTATTATTTTCATAGTGAATTACTTTCATGTTTCTAACTGTGATCTAGCTTAGACAAGTCCATGATTTCAACTATAAAAAATTCACTAAATCTCTATCGGGTTAATTGACTACTTTGAACATATTTTCAGTAATTGATTGAAACCATGAATCAATCATTGATAGATCATTATCAAAAACCTGAAAGCTCTGGACGGTTGTTTCATCCCAGCATGGAACTCGTCAGTAGTGAGCATCCACGGCCCCCGCTCGTGGGAATCGATTCCAGGATCTTCAGTCTCTCTATGATGAATATTTTTAGTAATAATGAACCAGACTATAAAAATCTATTTGGTAGACAATTAAGGAAATTATTTTTAATTTGGCTTTTTTGTAGTTTTGTTAAATATATTTTAAGTTTGTAATTGAATCGATCACGTCATTTTGTTATTTGAAGTTTGGAATAAACTATGTCCACTATGAGAATCATTATTATTGAACACATGCGAATCCATGAAACGAGGGGATCAACTCGACTATCTAAATTTTATTGATAATTTAACTAGGAAAATCAATAAGTCGAAAATTAAACTAAGCTATCAAAATGCCAAAAATCTATCTACAAGCTTAACAATGATTAAGCAATTTCTACATCGATTAATCCATATGTGAAACATCAAATAATTAGACGATCAGAGATTCAGTTCCATCCTCCGATTAAATAGAAATATCAATGAACATTGTAACATATTTCTGAAAGTTATCGAAATAAAATTGGTTGGTTTTCGTAAAGATTTTCTCAAAATTCGACACTGTTAATCTTGTCTAAAAGAACATGAAAGTTTGCCAATAAAATCATTCAGCTCAAAAAAAATACGGAATTAATATTTAGTACTAAGGTCATTTATTACTTAGATTTATAAAAGTATTATATTTGGGGGGATTTTCACGGTGAACTGATATGAGATGGAGAGTTATTTGAGATCGGAAATGTTACGCATGAATGTAAACATGTCATTTGAGATGCTTAAACTAATACAAGTTTACCTTGGTCTGGAAACGAGAGCGGGGATCCGGTGACACGCCATCCTACTCTAATCCGATTGTCCCAACCCCCATTGAATAAAAGAAGAAGACCTGATATGAAGTAGAACCTGTATTCTACAAACATCCAGAGAGTACAAGGTCTGAGTCCAGAAGAGAATCAGGATCCCGGACTAGGGATCCGGGTCATAAAACGTCACAGATAATGCGTATTTATACATTTAGGTCGAATAGGAAACAACATTGAAGTCTGTGACATTGACAGTCCAGATGACCAATAGGAAACAACATATGAAGTGACACTGTTAGTCAGGACAACCAATAAGAAACAACAGTGGAGTACGTGACACTGATATCTAGGACGACCATAAAATTGACCAGTAAGAATTAACCAATAGGAATTGACCAATAATTCTCTTGGGATATTTGATGAATATCCTGACAGGAAAGCACTAGATAATTTTTTCAGTCTATTATGAAACTACCCCATAAGTGAGTAGCCACCACCTGACATGAGACCAAACTGGTGATACCCACGGAGTTGTGAACCACACCATCTAACTACATAGTCCATGATTCTGTCATTCACTTCTTTGAAACTAAGCTGACCTCAGG